GCACAGAAGGTTTGTCTGTGTTGGAGCAGATGTCAGAGCTACCACGAAGGGGGAATTGGACAGCACTTCTGTCTTCTCTCCCCAGAGGTTGACCTGGGAGGGTGACCCAGGGAGAGCAAGCAGCCTGGCCAGGTGCCCAGCCCAGGGTGAGAGAGCAGAGCTATAGAAGGGTACATAGGAGATCGTATTAACAGTGTCCTCTGAATGTCACAGACCTTTGCGGCTCTCAGGGAAAGGCTGGGCTGATCAAACTGGTAGAGCAGTGGCCCCAGGGAAAGATTTGGGATCTGTGGATCTGCCCCAGGGTCTTGACCTCTCAAGTTACTCCAGTTACAAGCTGCTCTGAAGCTACCTGGGGCCCAGGAGATGGGAGGGTGACAGGTGACCAGAGGCTGAAGGAAGGAGGGATGGGGACCTGGGGGATGGGAGGGGTGGGAGGAGGAAGCTCGGCTCCCAGGAGCTTCTGGTCCTCTGCCAGACCCGGGACACCAAGGGGCCCTGCCCTGGTTTGCAAGTGGACATTCTGGGCGAGGATTTGGCCATGTGAAGGCCAGCGTCAGTCACTCTCAGCAGTCATCAGTGTGGGCCTTTCTGTGGACATGGGTAGAGGGAATGAATGATCCTTTGGCCAGAACCATGTATGGGAGGACTCGGGACTTGAGGGTCAGGACTTCCTCCATCTGCCCTGGCCGATCTTGGGAGGAATTCTGTTTGCCCTGTGACTCAGAGAAAACAAATAAGTACAGGAATGTGCAAATCAGTGCAGCCCCACCATAAAATCACATTTGTGCTGTTCCTTCTTCCCGGTGCAGGGATACAGTCCAGCCAGGTGTCAGGTCCCTCTAGGCTTCACCCCACCATGGCTCTCGCTTCCCTCTGCCCAAGTAAAGCGGGGGAGAAATTTAAGATCCCCTCTTCCTTTTCATGGAAGTTCCTGTTTGGTAAAGACCCACCAGAAAGCCTACCCCTTCTGTCAACACAGCCAGCCATAATTCTCTGAAAGCCTGAGGTTCCTGAGGCCCCAGGAACCTCCTTTCAAAGCAAGAGCCCACTTCCTCTTTGTCGGTTCAGAGGAACTGGAAGATACTCTTTTCTCTCTGCAACATCACTTTCCAGGATTCACGCACAGCCTGATCAAGTGGGAAGATACAGTCCTCCCCCAAACTGGTCTTGGTGGTGCATCCAACTCCAGCCCTGGACCCTCAAGAGGGTCCATGCACCACATGACCGTGGGGTATGGCTACAAAGCCACTGTCACCGGAAAACATGCCATGTCTGTATGTGCCACATGGGTGAAGGCGTATGGCAGAATGACACACTGCGGGACACACTTATCCGCTTTGCAGATAGGAAGCAGTTTTCAAGTCCCTTGACTGGCCCTACGTCTCTGGGAGGGGGGGACCTCAGAGAGGGAGACAGTGGCTTGACACTGAGCATGTTTCAGGGACCAGAGAGCTCAGAGGTTGCTGCACTGGTCCATTGACTTATTTTGTCCTTGGGGCAACTGTCCTCTGAGCAGTGGGTCCTATAGACAAGGACCTTGAGGTACAGAGAGGGTGATGGGCTGGCCTGGGGACACACAGCTGTTGGAAAATAGAGCTGGGATGTCACCTCCTTCCAGGAGGGGAAAAAAACCACCCCATACAGCCCTGTAGTCCACAGGGGAGGATGTGGGGAACTGCCCATCCATGGCCTTCCCAATTAGAGCCCCTCACCCTCCACCCCTGGACAGGAGAAAGAAGGCTGAAGTTTGGCTGATCTAAGTATTGCTGGAGGGCCTGCAGCCTCCCCAGGTCCTGCCGGCCAACACCAGGCTGACCCAAGGGCCCTAAGGTCACCTCATCTGAACTGTACCTTGAAACCGAAAGTGACACATGGGTGTGGTGGGGGATCCCATTCCTGAAGAGATTGAAACCAGAGGTCCTGTCCTGGGCCAGTGACAGCCAGGCTGGGCTGGGATCAGGCTGGAAGTAGGCTGGGAATCCTACTTTCCTGGTGCTCAGTGACTGGTGGGGTCAGGAGAAGAGCTGCGCGTAGGGGACACCTTAACAGTATGGGTGGGCACAGCCTCTACCCAAGGTAAGGAGACCCTAGGGGGCTGGGGACTGACTCCGTGTTCATGTTACATGTCTGAGGGGCCCTGGGATGAACACACTACCCGTGAGGAGCGCTCAGGGCATCCTTAGGGGTCCTAGGGGTTCTGGGTACGGGCCTATCTTCACCCCCAAGGATGTATTGCACTGGAGGAGGCGGAGGAGGAGCCATTGTGAGGGTCATGGAGTTCCCTGCCATCCTAGGCTACCTCCAGTTCTCCTGGTTGCCCATTTCTTCCCTACCAGGGGCCCTGCTGCCTGGGGCTAATCTCCATGAGTCATCTGGGTAGACTGCCAGGACAAAGGGACTATCAGGTGCTCGTTTCCTGTCCCAGATCAGGGGCCAGAGGCAGGGTCAGCAGCTTGACGACAGCATGACAGTGATGCTCTGGGAGGTGGTCACGGCCTCCACCCTGCCCTGCCAACATTTTTCCTGTCTCCATGGCAAAACCTGGGGACATAGTGCCAGCCCTTTCTTGCTGGACTGTAGTGAGCCATTCATTTGTCAGATCATGGAGGGAGGGCACCAGCTTGGTTCAAGCCCAGGCCCAAGTGGCCTCCAGGGACCGGTGGAAGTGAGGGCTTCTGGAGGCACCAGCCTGGCCAGGTTCCCCCTATGCCACCCTATGCACAGCATCCCTACTAAGTGTCCCTCAGGACTAGTGGCACAGGTGGGAACCTGGTGACCCTTCCTGCAAGTCACAGGGGACGAGGACCCTGATTTTTGAGGCTGAGTCACTGGCCCCACACTTGTCCTGGCTGCCGGCTTGAAAACGGACTCTGGCCCCAACCATGGGAAGGTTCTGCCTCAGGGTCATAGAAAGCAGCAAGAAGCCAGGGGTCTGGCTGGGCTACACAGGTTGCAGGGCTGGGAATGAGAGCACAGAGGGTGAAGACATGTGGAGTCCCTCAGGGTAGCTGTGACTCCTGGGTGCCCAAAACCTTAGGCCTGAAGGACAGTCCTGAGGCCTCTCAAGGCATTGGACTAAATCAGATTTTCATAGGACCAGGAGGTCAGCCTGGTGGTCCATGTCCAGTGGTTCAGGTGGCCAGAGTTGGGCGCTAAGAGGAAGCTAGTCTTAGCCAGGTGGTATCTGACTGGGTGGAGCAGTTACTCTGGCCTGGTCCCTAGCAGCAGTTCTGGGCAGCATCTTGTGTACTGTGGCCTGGAGGTGGCCTGGGCTGCAAGCACTGGGCAGCTGATTGGCCAGCAGGCTGGTGGCTCAGTCCAGCCTCGGACACACAGGGTGTGATAACCTCTGAGGCCAGGTTGGTGACTCAAATGGGTCAGAGTTGAGGTGTGGACCCAGCTGGTTACTCAGGCTTATGTCTTGTGCCAGGGGCATGGACCCTGCTGGATAGCTGCTCCTCTCACCCAACTTTCTGAGTGCAAGAGAAGGGCATGACCACTCTCTCTGGCCTGGGACCCAGTCACCACCTGCACTCCCTCATGGCCTCCACTATCCAAACCATGGAAGCTACCGACCTGTTGGAGCCAGCGCATCCACTCTGTCCTGCCCCATAGGGTCCTGATCAGTGGGTCCACCACTGACCAGGACCCACCTTATCTCTTGTCAGCATCAGGTGACCTGATGTCCGGTGCTATGGCCAGGCAGGGGAGCCCCTGCTATGCCTGAAGGGAGGAGGCTACATATCTGAAGCCCCAGCCTGCCAGGCCCTAGTATCCCCTCACCATCCAACCCTTTCTTGTTTGACTACTCATTCAATCACTGGTTAACTCCCTCTCTCTCTCTCCCTCCCTCCCTTATTCATTAACTCACTGATTCAGTCACTCACTTATTTACTCATTGATTTGTTCTCTTCCTTCACTCATTTGTTCACAGTTCCTCCACTCCCCCACCCCTGTGATGTGTGCAGTGTTCCCTCTCCCAGGCTTTGGGGCCAAGATGGAGCATGGGAAGGAGGTAGGACAGAGACCAAGAACCAAGTGGCCAGAATAGACTTGGATTGTTCCCAGGAGAGCCAGAAGCGAATGATCAGACAGCTTAGGGTGACTTTCTGACCCTCAACCCCTCCCCAGAAGTGTTGGGAGCCACACTTCTTCCTGTGCTATCATCCCTCCCTGGCTGGGATCTCCTTTACTGACCAACCTGTGGACAGTGGAGCTGCTGCTGTTGGCTGGAGAAGTTAGGCATCTGAGAGGGCATGTCAGCCCCGGTGTCCAGAGGCCCAGACAAGGCCCACCACCACACATCCACGATCTGGGCAAGTGTCCATCATATGACAGTACCTTCTCAGTTGGACAAAGACTGGGGGCTCTTCTGGGTGGAGCTGCTGCAGCTCTCCAGCCCACTGGGAACCAAGGGCTCCTAGTTCCTGGTGGTCAGGGGCCATCTGGTGGGTAGAACTGGCCCTCTGCTGTCCACCGTCTGCCTGAGGCTGGGAGCCTGAAGCACAGATGGGGTCTCAGAAGGCATGGGGCTGGGGGCTACACTGTGGGGAGGGACGCTGTTGCTTGCTTGGGGACTGCTGGCCTCTCCAGGGCCAGGGAAGACGACAGGCCACACCAGGGCCCAGGCAGCCTCAGAGATAGCATTTGAACATTTGGTCAGCCTTGGACGCGCTGGGGTTCCTTGAGGAACCAGGAACTCAGGTCAGAAGGGCAACCAGGGAAAGTCTGGGTGGGGGCTGTGTGATGAGAATCTGGGGGAACCCTAGGGAAACCAGGCCCCACCCATGAACACACCCACCTCTGCCTCCTTCCGCTGGCCGTTGAGCAGCCTGAAGTGAGTGCCCACTGTTTACTTGGGTGAGGGGAACCACAGGGCTGCCCCGCCCACCCACGTGAAGCCGCTGGGGTTGGAGCCAGCTCTGGGGCTACAAAAGACTGCTGCTGACTGCAGGCTGTCCTCAGAGGCCACCTGTGGGGACACCTCACGCCACACCATGGGTGCCGGCCGGAGAAAGCTGGTCTCGCTCTGGGCCCTGGCTCTGGCCCTGGCCTGCGCCCAGCACACAGGTAGGACTTGAGCTGCCTGGCTTTCCCAGGCTATGGCCTGGAGTCTCTGGACACTCCCCTACGTTCTGGTCCCAGGTGGGCAGCAGCTGCTCAGAGTCCTTGTCCTGGATCTTGGGCAAACTGAGTATGACCATAAAGGGCACCGGTCACATAGCACCTGCCTGCAGCCTGACCACCTTGAACGATCTCCAGTTCAGTGGTTGGGGAGGGCTCTGCCGGCTGCAGGGGCTTCTGGGGCTAGGCATCCACTATGATGGGGACTCTGTCCCCATCAGGCCTGATCAGGGCGGGCTCTCAACCCCTTGGACATCCCATTTGTACCCAGATCAACAGTGTCCCCATCTTGACCTCCATAGGGGTGTCCTGAAGTCTCAGTCTTGGGTGAAGATGTGACACCCACAGGGGATGGGAAGGCTCAAGGCCTATGAAAACTGGACAGTCCTCCCACCTGGGTCAAGATGTCCTTGCCCCTGGAGATAGGTGAGGCAGTAACAGAGGCTCCAAGGGGATGGGTGCCTTGGATGGAGATGAGTCCTAATGCTCTCAGGACTCCTGGAAGGGCAGGATAGGTGCTTTCACTCAGCTCCATGGTACCTGACAAAGTCAGCTAGGTCCTAGAGCCCTAAGCCCCAGCCCTCTACTCTCCCCTCTGCCAGCCAGTCTCGAGTCAGAAAGGCCTCCTGTCTCATCTGCCCTGTGCTTTTCTGAGGAATCTGTAGACAGGACCTTCCTGGCCTGGCCATATCCTCCTGTTTAGTGCAGGCCCACATTGGGCCCACACTGGACATTTGCTCTTGGAGACTTAAAACTCTCCCCTAGAGCTTCTTGGAGCTGGGCCCGCAGAACTCACAGGGCAGGTCCAGAGTGGGACAGGGGTGAGTGAGGTTCTCAGCAGCTCCGTAGGTGCTGAAGGGCTGCACCTGCCTTGGCTGGCATTACCCCCATCCACCATGAATGCCATCAAACTTCCTGTTGGCCTCTGCCAAGCCATTCAGGGCTGGGGCTGTCCCTTGATGTCTAGGAGTCCTGGACAGGCCCTTACCGCCTGCCTTACTGGCTCCTGCCAGGGTTGGCATCCCTGTGGCACACTCCAGGGATGAGGCTCGCAACCAGATTGTCCAGGGAGGCAGAGGAAGAGGGAAGCACACAGGCAAGGGATGAATTGTGGAAGCTGTTCTTACTCTGTCCGCTGCATGTCTGTCCCTCATGGCTAGCTAGTCGTGACCCAGCACAGAGCCTACAGAAGCCACAGGGGCAAGAGAGCATGGTGTGGGGATGGTCCTCCCAGCCAGATGCAAGGATCCCAGTGACAGGGGCAGGACGTGGGCAGCTGGATTTGGAGTGGAAGTCAGTTGCAGTTTTGTTCAACCTCTCTTGGGCAGGGTCTGGGAGTAGGCCAGGCTCCCACTGCTGCACTGGCTCTGTGCAGGGCTACGCTGAGCTAGTGTCTGGTGACATCCTGTGCGTTTGGAGGACTTCAGTGGGTCCCAGAAACTAGCCTCGTCTCAGAGTGTACCATAAGGATCAAAGCCTGTCCCTCTGCCCCAGGTTCCCTGGCCACCAAGGCTCTGATCTCAGACCTGGCCCTCAGATCTCTGGATACCTCATGCCAAGTTGTAACCAACCTGTCCTTACAGTCTGATCCCCTCCGTGGTCACTTAATAGGAGAGAACCATGAAGGCTTCAAGCGCAGAGGACAGGGCCCGGCACACAGCAGACACTAAGTGGGAAAGAACGAATGGGCCTTGGATATGCAGGGTCAGAATGAGGCCCCACCCATGCTGAGTGCTCCTCAGGGGACGCTCGCAGGGGACTTTGTCCAGCAGTAGGCCTGGGTTACCTCAAACACCGTTCCACATGGATGGAGACATCCCAGTGTCCCCCAGCCCTTCACAGAGTCCTCATTGCTGGCTACCCAACACATTCTGGACCCCTATGGTCCTCACTCCATCCACACACCTGGTGGCCTGCAGTTTGGATTGTCTGAGGTGCCATCCTTGCTCAGGTCCATCTCCTCTTCCACAGGCCAGGCCGAGCAAGACTCTCTGAAATCCAGCTATGATCACCACAGGAGAGTCATTCTCCCTCCAGGGCATGTCGGTAAGTCTTGGCCTTTCGTCCCCACTATGCCTGTCAACACCACCCCAACATGGCCCGGGGTCCTCCCAGGTCCTCTTGTCTTGGGGTGGTAACACAGCTGGCTACTGCTGAGGGGCCAGAACTTAGGGGGCTGGAGGACACCCTGAGCAGTCACTGCCTGGCCCTTCCTGATCCAGGGCCTTGGGGTGGTAATGGCTGTCAAGGCTCAGGCTCTAGAGAGTTTTTGAGAGAGGCTGGTAGGTTGACTGGGCTGTGTGGCTGGGTTCCTGTCTCCCCGTGTTCCGGCAGCATATTCACCTTCTGGGCTTTGACATTGGGAGCTGCATGCTCACGAGGGCTGAAAGTCCAGGGGCTCTCCAGGCGGCAGCCTGAGAAGGGAATGTGGAGTGTAGGCCTGCAGGTGCACTGTGCTCTGCCTGTGCATAACACCTGTGCATCGCACCTATGTACAACACCTGTGCCGGCCTCAGCACCTAGTAGTTTCAGACCCGGCCTGGGGAACTGGGAGGCCTGGGTCCACCAGCCCTGAACCACCTCCTCTGGGCAGCTGGGACCCCCTGCCTCACCACAAGCCCCTGTCTCCACAGATGACCCACTCCGTGGGGTGACTGTCATCCCTCCTCTGAGAACTATCCCTGTGGTACGAGGTGAGTAAAATCCTGAGTCCCAACCAGGGAAGTGACATGGGTTGGCTGGGCTTCCCTCCATCAGTCCTGGAGGACCCAGTTGGAAAGGGGCCCCAACCTGCAGCCAGCCAATCCCAGAGCTTCCTGGATCAGACAGGACTGTAGTGATGACTGCCCTTGGCAGCAGTGTGTCTGGGGTTCCTGGTAGCACCCGGATGTGGAATGCTGGCAGGTACGGGGGGTTACATGTGGGAGTGCCCGGCTAGGGCAGCAACCCTAAAGGCTATGACTGCTCTGGTCCACAGCCCTGAACCCAGCGCACAATGGGCAGGTGTGCAGTACCTGGGGTGACTTCCACTACAAGACCTTTGACGGTGATGTCTTCCGCTTCCCGGGCCTCTGCAACTATGTGTTCTCTGCACACTGTGGTGCCGCCTACGAGGACTTCAACATCCAGCTGCGCCGCAGCCAGGAGTCCAATGCCACCACAGTGAGCAGGGTCATCATGAAGCTCGATGGTCTCGTTGTCGAGCTGACCAAGAGCTCTGTCCTGGTCAATGGCCACCTGTGAGTCTGGGTCTCTGGATGGTGCTGGGTGGGGTGACAGCATTTCTGGGTATGGTGGGTAAAGCAGGGCATCACAATCACGGGACTGGGGTTACTGACAAGCCTCCTGGGAGAGGAACTGGCCAGGAACTCCATGCTCTAGGCGCCACGACCCTGTCACACTCAGGGCTGCAGGGACAATCCTGGCTTGGAGTCCCTCTCCTGGCCCTGCACCTCAGCACCTCAGCCCCATCCTTCTCCACAGGGTCCAGCTGCCCTTCAGCCAATCCGGCGTCCTCATTGAGCTCAGCAGCAGCTACCTGAAGGTGGTGGCCAGGCTTGGCCTGGTCTTCATGTGGAACCATGATGACAGCCTCCTGGTGAGGCCAGGAAAGAGGCAGGGGTTGGATGGAGGCAGGGTGTGATGTTGGGGGGATGATGGGCAGAGCCTCCTGGTGAGTCTGGGAAATAGGCAGGGGTGAACAGAGGCTCCTGGTAAGGCCAGAAAGGAGGCAGTGGGTGGATGGAGCCTCTTGATGAGGCTGGGGATGGCACACACCTCTAGCCTTCAGGGACTGACCTGCCTGATAGCCTCTCCTGAGAGGGTAGGAAGGTCTCTGGGCTAAGGAGGGTGAGAAGATTGGACCCTATGCCACACAGCAGGTGAAACAGGTGCCCAGACACCAATAGGGTCATCACCCGCAAGATGGAGGCCCTGCACATGGGGTACCGGTTCCACCTGCTCAGGATTGCAGCTTCACGCATCTTGTGGGGAGGTTCTAATGGCCGGTGTCCCCTCTGGGAGCCCCCAGCCTTGGGAATCTGTTCTTCGTGTGCTGGGGTGACCCTGGAGGGGACAGGGCGTGATGTCTCCTCCAATTTCAGCTGGAACTGGACACCAAGTATGCCAACAAGACCTGTGGGCTCTGTGGAGACTTCAGTGGCAACCCGGTGTTCAGCGAGTTCCTCTCCCACAGTAAGACCCCAGGAGAGGCCAGTGCTGTCGCCTCGCCCCTCCCAACACCCAGGAGCCTCTAGATTCTAGAATCCCAAGTCAGATGTCTGCAAGTTGTGTGCAAATGCACTCTTACGATCGAGCACACGCGCATGTGCCTGATGCATGCACTCGCGGTCCTGCCCACATGCACAATTCCATCACATGCAGCGTACACACGTGTGCATAGGCGCCCTGCACCACCCTCACAGTCCTGGGCATCAGGTTGCCTTCCAAACTCCTCAGTTCTCAGTGCTGTTGCTCTGCACAGTGGCTGGTGACACACTCTTACACAAAATCACACCCATGTCCTTGACCCTGGAGTCTTTGTCATCAAGCAGCCCAGATCACACCAGAGCACGTCCCCCACCCCACCCACCCTCTGCCAGGTCCACAAAGCCCCACACAAGCCCACCTGTAAGGGGTATCCATCCACAGGAGATGAAGCCTACCCAAGCATCCAGCAGTCCCTGACCAGTCAGGCAGGCTGTAAGGGCTGGCAAGAGGTCAGGTCCACTCTGGGCTGGAGGGCAGGACCCAAGATCCTGTGTCAGCAATGACTCACTGCAGCCTGGATGTCCCAGCCTCCTTCCTGCATTATGCAGACTCTCTGAGGGTACTGGGTAGTGAGGATGGGGAGGCCAGGGCTCACAGGACAACTCAGGCATCCTCAGCAGGGGACCCTTCTAATCCCACCTTGGGGCACTGATCCCTGAGACTTTGCTGCCAGGATGCTGGGCTGGAGAGTCTGGGACCTGCAAGCAGAGCTGGCTTTGTGCTTCCTGCAGATGTCAGGCTGACACCCCTTGAGTTTGGGAACCTGCAGAAGATGGACGGCCCCACAGAACAGTGCCAGGACCCTATCCCTTCACTCCAGAAGAAGTGCTCCACCACCTTTGTAAGTCTCAGAATGAACCAGCTGGCAGGATAGAGAAGAGGGGCCGTGAGCCCAGGGGATGCCCCAAACTCCACTTTGCGGCCTTGAACCTGGACTCACTGTGAGCTCCTGCCTGGCCCCAGGGCATCTGTGAGGAGATCCTGAGAGGCCAGCTGTTCTCAAACTGCACAGCCCTGGTGGACGTCAGCAGCTACGTGGAGGCCTGCCAGCAGGACCTCTGCTTATGTGAACGCACTGACCTGTCCAGTTGCATCTGCCACACCCTGGCCGAGTACTCCCGGCAGTGCGCTCATGCTGGGGGGCTGCCACAGGACTGGCGGGGCCCCAACCTCTGCCGTGAGTGCCCCCACCCTGGCCTCCCCATCCTTATCCCATTGTCCTGCCTCAGGCTGGCAGGGAAGGGGGTGCAAACACGACGGGAGCCTGTCTTCCTGGTCTCCCTACAGCCCAGAACTGCACTCTGAACATGAAGCATCGGGAGTGTGGCTCACCCTGTGTAGACACTTGCTCCAACCCCCAGCGCTCCCAGGTCTGCGAGGACCACTGTGTTGCCGGATGCTTCTGTCCTGAGGGTGAGATGGCTTCTTGCCTTGCAAGCCCAGGCTCAGGACCTCTGAAATACAACTGCCTTTTGGGTGCCAGGCAGCCATGCTGCCATGGCTGAGCCTTGGAGAAATGACCTCTCTGACCTGGGCCCGAGGTGTCCCTGGGCTGCTGGTGCTGGTTGAGGCCCCCAGATGACATGTGTCACGTGGTTGGCTGCTTCTTGCAGGGATGGTGCTCGATGACATTGGCCAGACTGGCTGTGTCCCCGTATCCAAGTGCTCCTGCTTGTACAACGGGATGTACTATGCACCAGGCGCCAACTACTCTACAGACTGCACTGAATGGTAGGTCTTTGGCTCCCTCTTCAGGACCCCAACTTGTGCCAGGATGGCCCCCTGAGAGTTGTGGGCCAGGTAAGGTCCAGGCCCACCGTGGCTTGTGCAGTACAGACCAGTTGTGGCCAGTGCAGTGTAGGTAGCAGCCCCTGGCCTAGGTGGGGACGCAGCAGGCCTGTTGTTCCAGGAGCTGGCATACAAGGTGTCTCTTCTCTTGCTGCCTTACAGCACCTGTTCCGGAGGCCGGTGGAGCTGCAGTGAGGTTCCGTGTCCAGGAACCTGCTCGGTGGTGGGAGGTGCCCATTTCTCTACGTTTGACGAGAGGCAGTACACGGTGCATGGGGACTGCAGCTACGTGCTGACCAAGGTAGTACCTGGGCTGCCCCAGATCCTTTTGCTTTCAGGGACGCACCTGACTGTGGGTCCGTGCCCAGTCTCCTGGGGTTCCCCAGCCTGGATATCACATCTTGGCTGCTCCTGGGAGACCTCAAGGGTACCTGATGGTGAGACCTTGAGGAAACACCCCCATCTCCTAGTCCTGGGCTCCATGAAGGTCACTGGCTGCTGATCAGAGCCTCCCTGCCAGATGACTCCTGTCCAGTGTCCTGACTCCTCTGACCTTGGGTTTTTGTTTTGTTTTGGTGGTATTGGCGTTTGAACTAAGGGCTGGTTACTAAGCAGGTGCCCTGCCACTTAAGCCACACATCCAGTACTGGGTATTTTGTTGTAAGAGACCAAGCCTAGTTTAGGTTTACAAATAAATGGAGCAGAAAGTTCAGAGAATTCCCATGTACCCCTGTCCCCAGTACAATTCCTCTCTATTAACAAATTAGCATGGTGTGTTTGTTACAATTGATGAGACAAAGTTGACTTGTCATGGACACCCAGTGTCCATGGAATGCTCTTGGTGCTCTGCATTTCTGTATTGACATCACAAGGTCACACTGAGTAGTGTCACTATCCTGGGAACACTGGGCTCTGCATATCCATCACCGATCCCCCTTCCTGCAAAAATCACTGATCTCCTGACCTTCTCCCCAGTCAGGCCTTTCCCAAGGTCACCCGACTAGAACCATCTGGTGGCCACCTGCTTAGATTCCTCAGATTCAATGGGGATACATTGAGATTTCCCCGACTTGGGCCTGTGGGTTCCTATCTGGGGGCTCCTGAAAGCACCTCCCTCCAGGATTGAGTGGGCTACGCCTGAGGAGTCCATAGTGGGGTGTCCAGCGAGGGGAAGCAGTGTGGACTGGAGAAGAGAGGGGGTGATGTGGGTGGGGGAGGAGGGCCTGGCAGCACACAAGGACCCTTGCCGTGTTTTGCAGCCCTGTAACAGCAGTGGCTTTACTGTGCTGGCCGAGCTGCGCAAGTGTGGGCTGACGGATAGCGAGACCTGCCTGAAGAGCGTGACACTGAACTTGGGTGGGGGCCAGACGGTGAGTGCCGCAGGTGGGATGGAGCCCCAGTAGGGACAGATAACAAGGTGGGAACGAGGGTGTGTCCCCATGGCCAGTCACCTCTGTCCAAACCCTGGATCCACACCATGAAGGGCAAGTGCCCATTGAACCCTCTTACCCCATTGGCTATGTACATTACTTGTTTTCCCAGTGACCATCCTTTAGTGAAACAGCTCAGGGGCTGGACACCTGGACAGGAAGGAGGACCAAAGCATCTCTGGCTATCACAGTTTCTCTGCTTTAGTTGATTTTTTTTTTTTATAAATTAACTTTGGTTTTATATTCTTAAAAAAACAAAAACATGATTCTCATAGAAAATTCAGAAAATCAGGATGAGGATGACCTCGGGGCATTAGCCCACCTTGTGGAGCCTGTGACTTTCCAGGTGAAGGTCTCCAAGTCACATTTCCCAGATTCTGCTGGGGCACCAGGGGACAGCAGGGGAGGCCCCACCCCAGCCCTCTGCTTACCCTGTTGGCTCTGGGCTGCTTTCAGGTCATAGTGGTGAAGGCCAGCGGGAGGTCTTTGTGAACCAGATCTACACTCAGCTGCCAGTGTCTGCAGGTGAGGCACAGCCTGTGGAGCTCCCCTGTGCCCCCTGTACCCACAGGGCTGCCCGTGGGTCCCTCCCATGTGCCTTAGCACAACCTTTGTCCTCTGTGTCTGCAGCCAACGTCACCCTCTTCAGACCCTCAACCTTCTTCATCATTGCTCAGACCACCCTGGGCCTGCAGCTGGACATCCAGCTGGTGCCCACCATGCAGGTGTTTGTACGGCTGGCACCTGAGCTCCGGGGACTGACCTGCGGTAAGGGGCCCTGCCTCTGGGACCCCTGAGCCCACTCCTTCCTGGAGTCTACACAGGGCCTCAACCTGCCCACCTTCCCCCCAGGTCTCTGCGGGAATTTCAACAGTATCCAGGCTGATGACTTCCGGACCATCAGTGGTGTGGTGGAGGGCACGGCTGCTGCCTTCTTCAACACCTTCAAGACGCAGGCTTCTTGTCCCAATGTCAAAAACATCTTTGAGGACCCCTGCTCACTCAGCGTGGAGAATGGTGCGTACGGCTGGCCGTGCTGGCTGGCTGCCTGGAGGCTGGTTTACTTTCTTCTATTATTTCTGAAATGCTTTCAGTTGAGAAGCATTTTCTCAACTGACTGGGGCCCAGCTGTCTGCTCTGAAGCGGGGGTCATCATGCAAACTAGCCAATGCATGAAGTGTTACAAGCCAGTAACTCTGGGTGCTCTGGGGAAGACTGCAGGCTTGTGTCTGCTGGCTAAGCAGGGAGGTCCAGAAGAGCCCCTGACACAAGTTCCACAGCCGGCCAACTGCTTTATCTGCCATCAGCTGTGCACACAGAGCATCACACATTTGGGTAAAAGGAAGGACACTTGTGACATTGACCACCAACCCCTCTGAGGCTGGGCAGAAATGGAGAGGTGGGGCTCAGTCTCATCTGGTCCTGTGTCCTTCCTCTCCCTCCAGTGACCCAGAGATTTCTGCCTATTTGTCCACAGTGGTGGCCATTTGTGCCCCCAGAAGGGGAGGAGGCTCTAGGAATGGGGCTGGGGACTCTGGAAAGGAGAGGAACAGTGGCCATGGCTTCTCCACACTCCATGTGTGTTGGGAGGACACCACTTCCCCGTCCTGGGTGCTGTTTGCAGAATGACCAAGTGCTACAGCCATGTCTGTCTGTATAGAGATGCTGGAAGCCCCAAAGCCCAGGAAAGAGCAACCTGGTGGGGCGAGGGGAGTGTGAATGACTGATGGCTTCCCCTCTGTCCACAGAGAAGTATGCCCAGCACTGGTGCTCACAGCTGACCAATGCCAACGGCTCCTTTGCCCAGTGCCATGCCACGGTGAACCCTGGCACCTACTATTCGGTAATGCCCCTGCCCCCATGCTCCTCTGGCCAAAGCCCCATCACTAGACTGTGTGGCCACCTCCATGGAGGGTTGGGAGGGTGCTGAGGAGGCAGCAGTTAGTGGGGTCTGGACCAAGTCCATCTCTCTGGCTCTGTTCCCACTTCACTCATTCACACATGGCATATTCACTGAGGTCATGCTGTACCAGCTCTACATGGGGACAAGAGCCAAACCCTAAGGGTTTGTAGCTAGCTGGGCCCAGTGGCCAAGTGGGAAATCAGACAGTGATGGAGCTAATGCATGGAGGGAACAAGCCTGGTGGGTCACAGAGATAAAGGGTCAGGGTCCTCCCAGAGGCCCCTGCCCTGCAGGGGAGGTTGGCTTGTGTGAGGGCTCAGCTCTAAGATGCACACACAAGTTCTGCTGGAGGGAAAAATGCAGGGAAGTGTCCAGGAGGAGGCAAGGAAGGTGGGAAGGTGCTGGAATGGGAGACCCAGGCGGGATCCTTCCTGGACATGGGGAGGCCCGTCTGTGCAGGGGATGCTCACCCCGTGAGGACAGGGGTCCCTGACACCCTGACACTCTGCCCCCAGAACTGCATGTTTGACACGTGCAACTGTGAGAAGAGTGAGGACTGCATGTGTGCGGCCCTGTCCTCCTATGTGCGAGCCTGTGCCGCCAAGGGTGTGCTGCTCCGAGGCTGGAGGGATGGAGTCTGCAGTGAGTGTGCCCTGGGCAAACCCAGCCTTTTCCTCATCAGGACTGGGAGGGTGGGGGAGTCCCCACTGGTCTCCTAGTGGCTGAGTTGATTCTCCAAGGGACCTGAACTAGTTGGGCTCAGGGGCCAGCTCGGCCAGGCTCTGAAACTGAGGGGCACCCAGGCCATTGTGGACCACAGACCAGCTTAGGAGGCAGTGTCTGGGGGGAGGCCTCAGCCCACTGGGCTGCCAGCTGCTAACCACCAGTCTCTGTGTGACCACCTCCTGAGTGTTCCCCTATTTTGCCCCTCCTTTTTAGCGAAACCCACAACCACCTGCCCCAAGTCGATGACTTACCACTACCACATCAGCACCTGCCAGCCCACCTGCCGCTCCCTGAGTGAGGAGGATGTCACCTGCCAAGTCAACTTTGTCCCCGTGGATGGCTGCACCTGTCCTGAGGGCACCTTCTTGGATGACTCGGGCAAGTGTGTGCAGGCCACCAGCTGTCCTTGCTACCACAGGGGCTCCACAGTCCCCAACGGCGAATCAGTGCATGACAGTGGGGCCATCTGGTGAGAACCCGGGGCTGGGCAGGTGGGTCCTAGGGGCTCACTAGCCCTAGTGGACATGCTGACAACTCTCTCCTCACAGCACCTGCACACAGGGGACACTGACCTGCATCGGAGGCCATGCGCCCACCCCAGGTAAGCCTGCCTGGGGTATCACTGCTCTCTGGCCCTGTGAACTCCATGAGAAGACCCCCAAATGGTGTCAGGTTGAATGAACTGGGGGTCATTGATCACTGTCTCTGTGTCTGGTGTGGGCTGTGGTCCCTGGGCTCAGTGATGAAGATGGGGGCGTGGGCTTGCCACACACAATCACGCAAACATCCTGTGCACATGCACCTCACGGATACATACCCCTCCCACACCCACAGTGGTCACATGTTTGACCTTCCGGAAACACACGTGAAAGGTATTGTAGCAGCTAGCTTCCCTCAGAGCCAGCCTGGTGGGCGGGTTGGGGTACCCTGACCTGCCCCTTCCCTTTCCAGTGTGTGACACACCCATGGTCTACTTTGACTGCCGAAATGCCACATCTGGGGCCACTGGGGCTGGCTGTCAGAAGAGCTGTCATACCTTGGATATGGCCTGCGTAAGTGCCCTGGTCACCCCCTGATGACCCTGCCATGACTCTCCTGATGATCCCTCACCCCCCCCCCCACCTCTCCATGGAGACCACCAGGCTCCCTTGAATCTGTTCCTGGGGTGGGGAGTTCAGTCGGACTCACCAGTGCAGGGGACCCTCAGGGGAACCTGGCTAGACTGAATCCCTGGAGGACCCCTGCCTGCCCTGTCACAGGGCTTGCTGTCCCCAGGGTTCCCTGAAGTTGTGCAGCCAGCTCTCTTGGAAGACATGGTAGGGCCTGCTGTCGTTCCCTGTCCACTCACCTGTGTCTGCACCCCCTATAGTACAGCACCCAGTGCGTGTCTGGCTGCGTTTGCCCCGAAGGGCTTGTGGCAGATGGCGATGGGAGCTGCGTTGCTGCAGAGGATTGTCCCTGTGTGCACAATGAGGCCACCTATGGACGAGGGGAAACCATCCGGGTGGGCTGCAACAACTGGTATGTGGGGGTCAGAGCCCAGGGGGGCAGTCCCAAGCTGTCACTAGACTATATGGTACAGAGGTACTTGTCAGGAGCAGCATGATCCCAGCACAGAGCCCCAGGCTGGCACACCTGGCACTGGCTCCCAACTGGGTAGACCCTTGGCATCTGTTTGTGCTCCTGGTCCTTCTGGGGGGGTGTCACACATCAGGAGGTCATATCCCCAGAACCTCCGGAGGATTTCCCACTCCTGCCCCATGGGCACGCTGGCCTGACCCCTGTGCCCCACGCAGCACATGTGAGAACAGAACATGGCGGTGCACGGATGAGCCCTGCCTAGCAACCTGTGCCGTGTACGGGGACGGTCACTTCCTCACCTTCGACGGGCGGCGCTACAGCTTCAGTGGGGACTGCGAATACACACTGGTGCAGGTACACGGGGCTGGTGGCTTCACCCACAGCCGTGTACGGTCTAGTGGGAGCAACCTCCCCTTGCCTCACAATCTTCTGCTTTCCCAGGACCACTGCGGTGGGAACAACAGTGCCCAGGACTCCTTCCGTGTCATCATCGAGAATGTCCCCTGTGGTACCACAGGCACAACCTGCTCCAAGTCCATCAAGATCTTCTTGGGGGTGAGCAGGGCAGGTGGGGTGGGGTAAACTGGGGCTCCATGACACCATGGGGGGAGCACAGGAGGGGCCTGGTCATTGTCAGGATCTGAGGAAGCCCTTACCCCACAGAGCTATGAGCTGAAACTGAGTGACGGGAAGGTGGAGGTGGTCCAGAAGGGCACGGGGCAGGAGCCACCCTACTCCATCCACCAAATGGGCGTCTACCTGGTGGTGGAAACTGACGTCGGCCTGGTGCTTCTGTGGGACAGAAGGACCAGCATCTTCCTCAGACTTGGCCCTGAGTTCAAGGTGAGACAGAACCATGGAGGCCACTGCCATTGCCCCTGCCAGGGTCCAGAGGGACACACTGGTTGGGGGAAAAACAGAGAGACAGTGACAGGAGGAGAGACAGAGAGACAGTGACAGGAAAAGAGAGAGAGAGAGAGATATGAAGATTGGGAGAAAGGGACAGAGACAGAAACAGAGATAGACAGAGAGGTGACAAGAGGGAGAGAGGCAGGGACAGAGATATAAGAGACAGAGAGTGACAGAAAGACAGAGAGATGCAGGCAGGGACAGAGAGACAGGAGATATGGGGAGACAGAGGATGGAAAGTGAGCCCTGAGCCTCCAGGGTGGGCAGCGAGGGGAGCCCTTGCTGTGTGAATGTCCTCAGCTACTGTAATAAAGGTGGCCAGTTCCCTCACAGTTCTGGACACTACAAATTCAAATGAGGTGCCGGCAGGACCATGTTCTCTCTGAAGCCTTCGGGAGGTCCTTCCTGTCTTTTCTGCCTCTGGGGCTCCAAGCATCCTTGGCTTGTGGCTGTGTGACTTCGGGTTCTGCCTCCATTATCTGTGGCTCCCTGTGTGCCTGTGTGCACATTTCCTTCTTTTATGAAGACACCAGACAAGGACCTGGGATCCCTTGCTCCGGAGTAACCTCATCTTAACTTGACCACATCTATAAAGACTCTTTCCAATGAGGCTACACTTGCAGACCCCAGTGTTTTCAACTCCCTTTCTCCTGGAAAGACTCTAGAATGGCCACCAAGGCCCCTGCACTCACCCTGCAGAGTGACGCTGGGCCTCATGCCCAGGTCAGGTCAGAGGGAGGAAGGAGAAAGCAGCCCTGCCGGAGAGTGGAGGGAGAGGATTCCCAGTGCTGCCAATCTGGGGAGCTGTGGGCCTCCCTAGGAGACGTGGGCACAGCAGTCCTGGGAACCTCGTAGTGAGGCCAGAGGGCCAGCTTCCAAACCTCGTGCTTTCTTTACTCTTCAGGAAGCTGGGGCAGCGGTGGGCTTGGGGGGCCTCAGGGTGCAGGAAAATGGCTCTGACCCATCCCCCTCTCCCGGTGCTCTGTAGGGCAGGGTCTGCGGCCTGTGTGGGAACTTTGACGACAACACTATCAACGACTTCACCACGCGGAGCCAGTCTGTGGTGGGCAACGCACTGGAGTTTGGAAACAGCTGGAAGTTCTCCCCGTCCTGCCCGGACGCCCTGGTGCCCGTGGATTCCTGCACCGCCAACCCTTACCGCAAGTCCTGGGCCCAGAAACAGTGCAGCATCATCAACAGTGCAACCTTCGATGCCTGCCACGCCCATGTACGGCACCAGCACCCAGGCGGGGCAGGGCTGTCTCTGGGCCTGAGAAATGCGTTATGTGCAATGACCCCGGGAGGGAGAAAGGGATGAGACGGGGAGGGCAGCTAAAGGTGTGTGTGCTGGGGCTCAGAGACCCATGTGGACATGCCAGAGTGGGCTGTTGTTTTGGGGCAGGGGTGTTAACTGTATCTGAGGAAGCCAGGGTCAGGATCAGACTCTGCGAACCATGACAGGTCTGGCCAGCCATTCAGGGTCATGTATTTGTTTTCCTTAGCTCTGGTGGAAACCAGGTCAACAGGCCAGTGTAGGCCTGAGTCCCCAAGAGCCCAAGGGAGCAGGGGTCCCCAGAACCAAAAGTCCTATCTCCCTCAGGTGGAGCCAGCCAAGTACTACGAGGCTTGTGTGAGTGATGCCTGTGCCTGTGACTCAGGAGGTGACTGCGAGTGTTTCTGCACTGCTGTGGCCGCCTATGCACAGGCCTGCCACGATGTGGGCGTGTGCGTGTCCTGGAGGACGCCTGACATCTGCCGTGAGTACCCAGGGCACCAGAGTGCCAGGCATAGGATTGAGGGGCAGAGAGGAAGGCCAGCCGGAGGGAAAGGCCAGCGCCATGCGCCTGACTGGATGCATGTTGTGTTTGGAGAGGCTGAAAGGTTTCGAAGGAAAGTGAAATAGAGATGGGGGAGTGGTTGCAGGAGGGATTATTGGCCCTGGAGAAGGTTCTCTGCTAAAGATGTCCTGAGCCCTGGCCTCTATGAAGCCAGGTGTAGCCAGGGGGCTGCTCTGGCTGAAGAACCTCCACCCAATGGTGGTCCATCTGGTACCCCGGGAAGCCAGGGGAATCCCTGCCTGGTCTACCCTCCCTGGTCCCACTTTGTCCTTAGCCTAGGACACAGGGGTGGGTAGAGGTTAGCAGGCTGGGGTGCAGGCCAGGCTCAGGGCCAACCCTCCGCTCTCCCTAGCTCTGTTCTGTGACTACTACAATGCTGACAGCCAGTGCACATGGCACTACAAGCCGTGCGGGTCCCCCTGTATGCGCACCTGCCAGAACCCCAGTGGGCACTGCCTGCGAGACCTTGGTGGCTTGGAAGGTGAGCTGAGGGCTGGCCTGAGAGGGGCAGGGCTGGCCTGGGTCCCTGGGATTTGGGCTGGGTATATTAGGATCCTGGGCCTGCGGTCTTCTTCACCAGAAGAAGTGGACTCTTCCTGACCACTAGGAGGTCTTTGTGGCTTCAATCTTGAGTACTAGTGTTGTGGATAGGTTGGGGTGGGGGACAGAGCGGGGGACTCTGCAGTGAGGTGGTCAGCAGTCTGTCTGTCTGGGACTAAGAGCCCCTGGCCCACAGGCTGCTATCCCAAGTGTCCTCTGGGGACCCCAATCTTTGATGAGAATACGATGCAGTGTGTGGCCACTTGCCCAATCCCAACTCCACCGCCTCCAACTTGCCGTGTCCATGGGAAGTTGTACCGACCCGGCGCGAGGGTGCCCACAGACAAGAACTGTTACTCCTGGTGAGTTGTGCCTGGAGAGTGTGGGGGAATCCAGTCCAGCCCCACCCACATCACCGACCTTCAGAGAGAGAGCACCCCTCAACTTGGGGTTCACCTGGGGGAGCTGCAGGGACCTCCCTGTTCCTGAGACGTCTGCTTTGGGCCAGGCATCCATGATACGTTTCTCAGGGGCTGGTGCCCTGTGGCCTGAGCTCCACGGGGGAAGCTGAGTATGGGGTGGTTCCCAGATTGAGAAACTTATGGGGTAGAAGGAGGGGCAAGCAGATGGAGCAGAGGGGGAAGCTGAGCCACGATGGCACCCCAGTAGCAGGGGACGGATGTCTATCAGGTGTTTGAGGCCTTGGGTTGTGTTTTAGCCTTATACTGCCTCCACTGGTCACTGATGGGCAATCCTCAAGTAGGCAAGCCCTCGGGACCCATGGCTGGTACTGGGTAGGGTCTCTGTCCTCCAGCCTGGGCTGTGGTGGAGGCTGCTGCACCACCTGCATTCAGAACAGTGGATGCCCTGTGGAGGCAGGTGGCAGCCCCCATATGCCCAGTCCCACTTCTTTCTCCTCTCGCTAGTGTTTGCACCGAGAGCGGCGTGCGCTGTGCCTATGACTCTGAGGGTAAGCAACCACATCCTCATCAGGGCTGTGGGGGGTAAGGGTTCTATCAGTGCTTTGGCCTCTACTGAGCCTGGCTGCTCTGCTCCCCACAGCCTGTGCCTGTACCTACAATGGGCAAAGCTTCCATCCGGGGGATGCGATCTACAACACAACAGACGGCATCGGCGGCTGCCTCTTTGCCTACTGTGGAGCTAATGGCACCATCGAGAGGAAAACCTCCACCTGCAGCCTCACCACCCCCGTACCTCCAACCACCTTCTCCTTCTCCACATCCCCACTTGGTAAGGCACTCACAGCTGAGGGCAGAGTGAACTGAACTCAGGTGCCCTGTGTGTTGTCCCTCTTCCTACTGACCAGTGCAGATTATCTTATCAGACACTAGGTTCATGCCCAGCTCCAAGCATTGGTGGCATCCCCTGAGTGTCAGAAATGGGCCCAGAAGCTGGACATTGGCACATGGGTGACCTTCTGACTCCTTCTGCCAGGCACCCACCTTCTGGCAGCCTCCCTGAGCTATTCTAGCAGTCCTGGTGCCTGTGATCCTGCTTCCACCAGCTGCTGGGGCTGGCCTTGGGGGCACTGGGGTCCTAGGACTGAGGCTCCCAGAATGCTGGGAGGTGTGGTCTCAGGCCAGCCCCTAGAGGATGACGGGAACCTCTTGGGATTCAGAGCTGCTTGTTTGCTTTACACTGCACGGTGCACCAGGCTCTCCTGAGCCCTCACCCTCCTCCTCAGGGGGCATCTTTCAGGCCACATGCAGCATCTTTAGAGCCTCTCTGAGTGAAGATCTCCTGCAACTGGCTTTTGGGGGCATGGATTCTGCTCAGGACATGGTCCAGGGAGCTGATCCCCTTTAAGGAAGGTTAATTTATCTGTTTACTGAATTGCTTCCCTCCCCACCTGCCCACTGCCAGGTAGGTTCTAAGCACAGGCTGGCCAATGTGGCTCCAAGTGTTTAGTTTCCAATGTTTGTCCATCCAGAAACCCACAAGGCAGCTCACAGGCTAGCAGGGATGACAGGGCCAGGATCTAGTAAGGCAGCTCTAAGCATGGGCTCTGATGCTAAGCCTTGCCTTCCTTGCCCACAGTTGTGAGCTCGAGGCAACCCTCCAGCACACACCCCAGCCCCACCCAGAGCACAGCACACACGGAACCCTCAAGCAGCGCCACGTCCACAGCTACCACCACACCCCCCAGGACATCTGCCACAACCTCCATCCTGCCTACCTTGGGCTGTGAGGAGGATTGCCTGTGGTCCCCATGGCTGGATGTCAGCCGTCCTGGATCAGGTGTCCATAGCGGTGACTACGATACACTGGAGAACCTCCGTGCCCATGGGTACCGAGTTTGCCTAGCACCGAGAGCAGTGGAGTGCCGAGCTGAGGATGCCCCTGAGGTGCCTCTCCGTACCATTGGGCAGAACATAGAGTGCAGCCCGGCCGTGGGGCTGAGCTGCCACAACAAAGACCAGGTGTCGGGACTCTGCAAAAACTACCAGATTAGAGTTCTGTGCTGCAGTCCTGTGTCGTGTCCCACCTCCAGTGGCTCAGCCCAGACCTCTCATCCAGCCACTTGGACAGTTGAAACTGACTCAAAAGGACCATTCACAGTCTCCTCAGCTCCTGTCACTGGTACAGCTAGTACACCTGCCCCAGCTAGCTTGACACCTGCTCCAGGTACTTCAACACACGCCAGAACAACTCCCTCCCCACAATGTCAGCAACATCCACTGCATCTGCTTCAGCCCCAGGAACCTCAGTGGTTACAGATAAGCTGACCTCTTCTGAGTCCAACAAGCCCTGCTTACAGGAGGTATGCCAATGGACAAAATGGATAGACGGCAGCTACCCTGGGTCTACCAGAAACAGTGGAGATTTTGACACTTTTCAAAACTGAGAGCCAAAGGATACAAATTCTGTGAGAAACCCACAAATGTGGAGTGTAGGGCCCAGTTCTTCCCCAACACACCATTAGCGGAGCTGGGGCAGGACGTGACCTGCAACCGTGAGGAGGGGCTGATCTGTTTGAACAAGAACCAGCTGCCACCAATGTGCTACAATTATGAGATTCGGATCCAGTGCTGCGAGATGGTGAACAATTGCAGAGAGGAAACCGGGACTCCAGAGACACTGACCACCACATACCCCGCTACACAGGAAACCAGCACCACAACACAGGCTGGCTGGACCACAGGCTCCATCTCACCTTCCACAAAGCACACCACCATCCATTCAGCACCTGTGTACACAATAAGCAGGGCCACACATACTACTGAAGCCACAGGCTGCCAGCCACAGTGCAACTGGACCAAGTGGTTTGATGTGGACTTTCCGGTCCCTGGTCCACATGGTGGGGACCAGGAAACCTACAGCAACATCCTCAGGAAGGGAGAGAAGATTTGTCACCAGCCTGAGGAGATCACGAGATTGCAGTGCCGAGCAGAGAACCACCCCGAGGTGAGCGTGGAGAAGCTCGGCCAGGTGGTGCAGTGTGACTCCAATGTGGGCCTGGTGTGCCACAACCGTGACCAGAACGGGGGCCTCGGGATGTGCCTCAATTACGAGGTGCGTGTGCTGTGCTGCCGCACCCCCAAAGGCTGCCCAACCATCCACCTGTCACTGTGCCCAGCACCCCGACTGAGAGAACCACCAGTGTGGCTTGGAGCACATCTCACATGCAGACAACCAGCTCATCTCCCACACCCCAAACCAGTGCCACCTCTGTGCACCCAGCCAGCTCATCCTCCATGCCAACACCCACTGCCACGTCTGTGCACACATCCAGCTCTTACTCCACACCACACACCAGTGCCACCTCTTTGCCACCAGCCAGCTCAACCTCTAGGCCACCATACAGTGCTACCTCTGTGTCCACATTCAGCTCATCCTCCACACCAATACCCACTGTGCCCAGCCACTCACTGCACCCAGTGCCACGCTCAACCTCCACACGACACACCAGCACCACCAGTGTGCACACAGCCAGCTCAACCTCCAGGCCACCATCCAGTGCCACCTCTGTGCACACATCGAGCTCTTCCTCCACACCACACACCAGTGCCACCTCTGTGCACCCAGCCAGCTCAACCTCCAGGCCACCATCGAGTGCTACCTCTGTGCCCACATCCAGCAAATATCTACATCCCAAACCAGCACCACCAGTGTGCACACATCCAGCTCAACCTCCACGCCAACACCCAGTGCCACATCCGTGCACACATCCAGCTCTTCCCCCGCACCACACACCAGTGCCACCACTGTGCACCCAGCCAGCTCAACCTCTTGGCCACCACCCAGTGCAACCTCTTTGCCACCAGCCAGCTCAACCTCCACGCCAACCAGTGCCACCTCTGTGCAAAAAACCAGCGCCTCTTCAGCGTCTATGACTAGCACACACCAAGTGTCTACAACTTGGTCAACTCAGTCCCCAACGGTAACAACAGGCTGCCAGCCACAGTGCAACTGGACCAAGTGGTTTGATGTGGACTTTCCGGTCCCTGGTCCACATGGTGGGACCAGGAAACCTACAGCAACATCCTCAAGAAGGGAGAGAAGATTTGTCACCAGCCTGAGGAGATCACGAGATTGCAGTGCGAGCAGAGAACCACCCCGAGGTGAGCGTGGAGAAGCTCGGCCAGGTGGTGCAGTGTGACTCCAATGTGGGCCTGGTGTGCCACAACCGTGACCAGAACGGGGGCCTCGGGATGTGCCTCAATTACGAGGTGCGTGTGCTGTGCTGCCGCACCCCCAAAGGCTGCCCAACCATCCCACCTGTCACTGTGCCCAGCACCCCGACTGAGAGAACCACCAGTGTGGCTTGGAGCACATCTCACATGCAGACAACCAGCTCATCTCCCACACCCCAAACCAGTGCCACCTCTGTGCACCCAGCCAGCTCATCCTCCAGGCCACCATCCAGCGCCACCTCTGTGCACACATCCAGCTCTTACTCCGCACCACACACCAGCGCCACCACTGTGCACCCAGCCAGCTCAACCTCCACGGCCACCACCAGTGCCACCTGTTTGCCACCAGCCAGCTCAACCTCCACGCCAACACCCAGTGCCACATCTGTGCACACATCCAGTTCATCTTCTGCACCACACACCAGTGCCACCACTGTGCACCCAGCCAGCTCAATATCTACATCCCAAACCAGCACCACCAGTGTGCACACATCCAGCTCAACCTCCACGCCAACACCCAGTGCCACATCCGTGCACACATCCAGCTCTTCCCCCGCACCACACACCAGTGCCACCACTGTGCACCCAGCCAGCTCATCCTCCAGGCCACCATCCAGCGCCACCTCCGTGCACACATCCAGCTCTTCCTCAGCACCACACACCAGCACCACCTCTTTGCCACCAGCCAGCTCAACCTCTAGGCCACCATCCAGTGCTACCTCTGTGCACACATCCAGCTCTTCCTCCACACCACACACCAGTGCCACCTCTGTGCACCCAGCCAGCTCAACCTCTTGGCCACCATCCAGTGCCACCTCTTTGCCACCAGCCAGCTCAACCTCCATGCCAACAACCAGTGTTTCCTCTGTGCACACATCCAGTTCATCTTCTGCACCACACACCAGCACCACCTCTGTGCACCCAGCAAGCTCAACCTCCACGCCAACACCCAGTGCCACATCTGTGCACACATCCAGTTCATCTTCTGCACCACACACCAGTGCCACCTCTGTGCACCCAGCCAGCTCAATATCTACATCCCAAACCAGCACCACCAGTGTGCACACATCCAGCACAACCTCCAGGCCACCAACCAGTGTCACCTCTGTGCACACATCCAGCTCTTCCTCCGCACCACACACCAGTGCCACCACTGTGCACCCAGCCAGCTCAACCTCTTGGCCACCACCCAGTGCAACCTCTTTGCCACCAGCCAGCTCAACCTCCACGCCAACCAGTGCCACCTCTGTGCAAAAAACCAGCGCCTCTTCAGCGTCTATGACTAGCACACACCAAGTGTCTACAACTTGGTCAACTCAGTCCCCAACGGTAACAACAGGCTGCCAGCCACAGTGCAACTGGACCAAGTGGTTTGATGTGGACTTTCCGGTCCCTGGTCCACATGGTGGGGACCAGGAAACCTACAGCAACATCCTCAAGAAGGGAGAGAAGATTTGTCACCAGCCTGAGGAGATCACGAGATTGCAGTGCCGAGCAGAGAACCACCCCGAGGTGAGCGTGGAGAAGCTCGGCCAGGTGGTGCAGTGTGACTCCAATGTGGGCCTGGTGTGCCACAACCGTGACCAGAACGGGGGCCTCGGGATGTGCCTCAATTACGAGGTGCGTGTGCTGTGCTGCCGCACCCCCAAAGGCTGCCCAACCATCCCACCTGTCACTGTGCCCAGCACCCCGACTGAGAGAACCACCAGTGTGGCTTGGAGCACATCTCACATGCAGACAACCAGCTCATCTCCCACACCCCAAACCAGTGCCACCTCTGTGCACCCAGCCAGCTCATCCTCCAGGCCACCATCCAGCCACCTCCGTGCACACATCCAGCTCTTACTCCGCACCACACACCCAGCGCCACACTGTGCACCCAGCCAGCTCAACCTCCACGCCAACACCACTGCCACATCTGTGCACTCATCCAGTTCATCTTCTGCACCACACACCAGCGCCACCTCTGTGCACACATCCAGCTCTTCCTCCGCACCACACACCAGTGCCACCACTGTGCACCCAGCCAGCTCAACCTCTTGGCCACCACCCAGTGCCACCTCTTTGCCACCAGCCAGCTCAACCTCCACGCCAACAACCAGTGCCACGTCTGTGCACACATCCAGCTCATCCTCCACACCACACACCAGCACCACCAGTGTGCACACATCCAGCTCAACCTCCAAACCAACACCCAGTGCCTCCTCTGTGCACACATCCAGCTCTTCCTCCGCACCACACACCAGTGCCAACCTCTGTGCACCCAGCCAGCTCAACCTCTTGGCCACCATCCAGTGCCACCTTTTGCCACCAGCCAGCTCAACCTCCACGCCAACACCCAGTTCCACATCTGTGCACACATCCAGTTCATCTTCTGCACCACACACCAGTGCCACCTCTGTGCACCCAGCCAGCTCAATATCTATATCCCAAACCAGCACCACCAGTGTGCACACATCCAGCACAACCCCAGGCCACCAACCAGTGTCACCTCTGTGCACACATCCAGCTCTTCCTCCGCACCACACACCAGTGCCACCACTGTGCACCCAGCCAGCTCAACCTCTTGGCCACCACCCAGTGCAACCTCTTTGCCCACAAGCCAGCTCAACCTCCACGCCAACCAGTGCCACCTCTGTGCAAAAAACCAGCGCCTCTTCAGTGTCTATGACTAGCACACACCAAGTGTCTACAACTTGGTCAACTCAGTCCCCAACAGTGACAACAGGCTGCCAGCCACAGTGCAACTGGACCAAGTGGTTTGATGTGGACTTTCCGGTCCCTGGTCCACATGGTGGGACCAGGAAACCTACAGCAACATCCTCAAGAAGGGAGAGAAGATTGTCACCAGCCTGAGGAGATCACGAGATTGCAGTGCCGAGCAGAGAACCACCCCGAGGTGAGCGTGGAGAAGCTCGGCCAGGTGGTGCAGTGTGACTCCAATGTGGGCCTGGTGTGCCACAACCGTGACCAGAACGGGGGCCTCGGGATGTGCCTCAATTACGAGGTGCGTGTGCTGTGCTGCCGCACCCCCAAAGGCTGCCCAACCATCCCACCTGTCACTGTGCCCAGCACCCCGACTGAGAGAACCACCAGTGTGGCTTGAGCACATCTCACATGCAGACAACCAGCTCATCTCCCACACCCCAAACCAGTGCCACCTCTGTGCCCCAGCCAGCTCATCCTCCAGGCCACCATCCAGCGCCACCTCCGTGCACACATCCAGCTCTTCCTCAGCACCACACACCAGCGCCACCTCTTTGCCACCAGCCAGCTCAACCTCTAGGCCACCATACAGTGCTACCTCTGTGTCCACATTCAGCTCATCCTCCACACCAATACCCAGTGGCACCACTGTGCACCCAGCCAGCTCAACCTCCACGCCAACACCCAGTGCCACGTCTGTGCACACATCCAGCTCATCCTCCACACCACACACCAGCACCACCAGTGTGCACACAGCCAGCTCAACCTCCAGGCCACCATCCAGTGCCACCTCTGTGCACACATCCAGCTCATCCTCCACACCACACACCAGCACCACCAGTGTGCACACATCCAGCTCAACCTCTAGGTCACCATCCAGTGCTACCTCTGTGCACACATCCAGCTCTTCCTCCACACCACACACCAGTGCCACCTCTGTGCACCCAGCCAGCTCAACCTCTTGGCCACCATCCAGTGCCACCTCTTTGCCACCAGCCAGCTCAACCTCCACGCCAACAACCAGTGTTTCCTCTGTGCACACATCCAGTTCATCTTCTGCACCACACACCAGCACCACCTCTGTGCACCCAGCAAGCTCAACCTCCACGCCAACACCCAGTGCCACATCTGTGCACACATCCAGTTCATCTTCTGCACCACACACCAGTGCCACCTCTGTGCACCCAGCCAGCTCAACCTCTTGGCCACCACCCAGTGCAACCTCTTTGCCACCAGCCAGCTCAACCTCCACGCCAACCAGTGCCACCTCTGTGCAAAAAACCAGCGCCTCTTCAGTGTCTATGACTAGCACACACCAAGTGTCTACAACTTGGTCAACTCAGTCCCCAACAGGTAACAACAGGCTGCCAGCCACAGTGCAACTGACCAAGTGGTTTGATGTGGACTTCCGGTCCCTGGTCCACATGGTGGGGACCAGGAAACTACAGCAACATCCTCAAGAAGGGAGAGAAGATTTGTCACCAGCCTGAGGAGATCACGAGATTGCAGTGCCGAGCAGAGAACCACCCGAGGTGAGCGTGGAGAAGCTCGGCCAGGTGGTGCAGTGTGACTCCAATGTGGGCCTGGTGTGCCACAACCGTGACCAGAACGGGGCCTCGGGATGTGCCTCAATTACGAGGTGCGTGTGCTGTGCTGCCGCACCCCCAAAGGCTGCCCAACCATCCCACCTGTCACTGTGCCCAGCACCCCGACTGAGAGAACCACCAGTGTGGCTTGGAGCACATCTCACATGCAGACAACCAGCTCATCTCCCACACCCCAAACCAGTGCCACCTCTGTGCACCCAGCCAGCTCATCCTCCAGGCCACCATCCAGCGCCACCTCCGTGCACACATCCAGCTCTTACTCCGCACCACACACCAGCGCCACCACTGTGCACCCAGCCAGCTCAACCTCCACGCCAACACCCACTGCCACATCTGTGCACTCATCCAGTTCATCTTCTGCACCACACACCAGCGCCACCTCTGTGCACACATCCAGCTCTTCCTCTGCACCACACACCAGTGCCACCACTGTGCACCCAGCCAGCTCAACCTCTTGGCCACCACCCAGTGCCACCTCTTTGCCACCAGCCAGCTCAACCTCCACGCCAACAACCAGTGCCACGTCTGTGCACACATCCAGCTCATCCTCCACACCACACACCAGCACCACCAGTGTGCACACATCCAGCACAACCTCCAAACCAACACCCAGTGCCTCCTCTGTGCACACATCCAGCTCTTCCTCCGCACCACACACCAGTGTCACCTCTGTGCACACATCCAGCTCTTCCTCCGCACCACACACCAGTGCCACCACTGTGCACCCAGCCAGCTCAACCTCTTGGCCACCACCCAGTGCAACCTCTTTGCCACCAGCCAGCTCAACCTCCACGCCAACCAGTGCCACCTCTGTGCAAAAAACCAGCGCCTCTTCAGCGTCTATGACTAGCACACACCAAGTGTCTACAACTTGGTCAACTCAGTCCCCAACGGTAACAACAGGCTGCCAGCCACAGTGCAACTGGACCAAGTGGTTTGATGTGGACTTTCCGGTCCCTGGTCCACATGGTGGGGACCAGGAAACCTACAGCAACATCCTCAAGAAGGGAGAGAAGATTTGTCACCAGCCTGAGGAGATCACGAGATTGCAGTGCCGAGCAGAGAACCACCCCGAGGTGAGCGTGGAGAAGCTCGGCCAGGTGGTGCAGTGTGACTCCAATGTGGGCCTGGTGTGCCACAACCGTGACCAGAACGGGGGCCTCGGGATGTGCCTCAATTACGAGGTGCGTGTGCTGTGCTGCCGCACCCCCAAAGGCTGCCCAACCATCCCACCTGTCACTGTGCCCAGCACCCCGACTGAGAGAACCACCAGTGTGGCTTGGAGCACATCTCACATGCAGACAACCAGCTCATCTCCCACACCCCAAACCAGTGCCACCTCTGTGCACCCAGCCAGCTCATCCTCCAGGCCACCATCCAGCGCCACCTCCGTGCACACATCCAGCTCTTCCTCAGCACCACACACCAGCGCCACCTCTTTGCCACCAGCCAGCTCAACCTCTAGGCCACCATACAGTGCTACCTCTGTGTCCACATTCAGCTCATCCTCCACACCAATACCCAGTGGCACCACTGTGCACCCAGCCAGCTCAACCTCCACGCCAACACCCAGTGCCACGTCTGTGCACACATCCAGCTCATCCTCCACACCACACACCAGCACCACCAGTGTGCACACAGCCAGCTCAACCTCCAGGCCACCATCCAGTGCCACCTCTGTGCACACATCCAGCTCATCCTCCACACCACACACCAGCACCACCAGTGTGCACACATCCAGCTCAACCTCTAGGTCACCATCCAGTGCTACCTCTGTGCACACATCCAGCTCTTCCTCCACACCACACACCAGTGCCACCTCTGTGCACCCAGCCAGCTCAACCTCTTGGCCACCATCCAGTGCCACCTCTTTGCCACCAGCCAGCTCAACCTCCACGCCAACAACCAGTGTTTCCTCTGTGCACACATCCAGTTCATCTTCTGCACCACACACCAGCACCACCTCTGTGCACCCAGCAAGCTCAACCTCCACGCCAACACCCAGTGCCACATCTGTGCACACATCCAGTTCATCTTCTGCACCACACACCAGCACCACCTCTGTGCACCCAGCCAGCTCAACCTCCAGGCCACCATCCAGCGCCACCTCTGTGCACACATCCAGCTCATCCTCCACACCAATACCCAGTGCCACCTCTGTGCACACATCCAGCTCTTCCTCCACACCACACACCAGTGCCACCTCTGTGCACCCAGCCAGCTCAACCTCCAGGCCACCATCGAGTGCTACCTCTGTGCCCACATCCAGCACAATATCTACATCCCAAACCAGCACCACCAGTGTGCACACATCCAGCTCAACCTCCACGCCAACACCCAGTGCCACATCTGTGCACACATCCAGTTCATCTTCTGCACCACACACCAGTGCCACCTCTGTGCACCCAGCCAGCTCAATATCTACATCCCAAACCAGCACCACCAGTGTGCACACATCCAGCACAACCTCCAGGCCACCAACCAGTGTCACCTCTGTGCACACATCCAGCTCTTCCTCCGCACCACACACCAGTGCCACCACTGTGCACCCAGCCAGCTCAACCTCTTGGCACCACCCAGTGCAACCTCTTTGCCACCAGCCAGCTCAACCTCCACGCCAACCAGTGCCACCTCTGTGCAAAAAACCAGCGCCTCTTCAGCGTCTATGACTAGCACACACCAAGTGTCTACAACTTGGTCAACTCAGTCCCCAACGGTAACAACAGGCTGCCAGCCACAGTGCAACTGGACCAAGTGGTTTGATGTGGACTTTCCGGTCCCTGGTCCACATGGTGGGGACCAGGAAACTGTGCTGTGCTGCCGCACCCCCAAAGGCTGTGCAACCATCCCACCTGTCACTTGTGCCCCAGACCCCCGACTGAGAGAACACAGTGTGGCTTGGAGCACATCTCACATGCAGACAACCGCTCATCTTCCCACACCCCAAACAGTGCCACCTCTGTGCACCCAGCCAGCTCATCCTCCAGGCCACCATCCAGCGCCACCTCCGTGCACACATCCAGCTTTACTCCGCACCACACACAGCGCCACCACTGTGCACCCAGCCAGCTCAACCTCTTGGCCACCATCCAGTGCCACCTCTTTGCCACCAACCAGCTCAACCTCCACGCCAACAACCAGTGCCACCTCTGTGCACACATCCAGTCATCTTCCACACCACACACCAGCGCCACCTCTGTGCACCCAGCCAGCTCAACCTCCAGGCCACCATCCAGCGCCACCTCCATGCACAGAGCCATGTCATCCTCCAAGCCACCAACGAGTGCTACCTCTATGCAAACAGCCAGCTCATCGCCCATGTCAGAACCAGTGCAACCTCTGTACACAAAGCCAGCTCAACTCTAGGCCACCATCCAGTGCCACCTCTGTGGAAACACCCAGCACCACTTATGTTTCTTTGACCAGCACAAACCAAGTGTCTACACCTTGACAACTCAGTCCTTAGCAGTGACCACAGGTTGCCAGCCACAGTGCAGCTGGACCAAGTGTTTGATGTGGACTTTCCAGTCCCTGGTCCACATGGTGGGGACCATGAAACCTACCACAACTCCTCAGGAAGGAGAGAGAATTTGTCGTCAGTCTGAGATCACGAGATTGCAGTGCCGGCGGAGAACCACCCCGACATAAGTGTGAGAAGCTGGGCCAAGTGGTGCAGTGCAACCCAGATGTGGGCCTGGTGTGCCAAAACCGTGACCAGGCAGGGGGGCCTTGGGATGTGCCTCAATTACCAGGTGCGTGTGCTGTGCTGCCGCACCCCTGAAGTCTGCCCGCTGACCTCGGTGACACCCCACCTGACGTCACCCACCAAGACTTCGTTTCCAGCCCCATCCACCTCAGCCACATCTTCCCCGTGGTCACAAAGCCCTATGGCACTCGCCACCACAACCTGTTTCTGCCGCGTGTCCGGCAAGCTCTACCCTGCAGGTAAGCATGTCTTCCCTGTTAATTTCCCTTTCAAAACTCCGTGAAATGCCATGAAGTTGGAGATGAGTGGAGTCTGCTGGGCATGGGCTTAATTTCATCATTGGGATTGGCCATTTGAGTTCTTAACTCTCTTACATAGGTTTGGAAGGCCTCTGGGCCTAGGATTTCAGCTGGCCAAGGGAAGGGCCTGTTCCCAGTGGGGTTTCTCTCATCAACCTTGTCCCTGCAGGGTCCATCATATACAACCAGACAGACCTTGCAAGCTACTGTTACTACGCCCTGTGCAACGAGCACTGTGAGGTGGTCAGAGGTCTGACCAAGAGTGTCCCTCCCCACATCAACCCCCATGCTGACTTCATCCTATCCACGTCCACTTCTGAGTCTGTCACTGTGCAAGGATGCCCAAACGTAGTACCTCCAAGGAAGGTACCCTACTTCTCTTCTTGCCCTTCTGGGGCTCCAGGGACACAGCAGAGACCTCAGCTTCCTTGCAGTTAGCCCTCAGCTCAAGCTTTTGTGAAAGTCCTGGCCCCTAGCCAAGGCAGGGTGACCACCGGGAGGTGGTCCTGCTCTGGACTAGAGGTCGGCTCCCCAAACTCTGCATAGTCAGGCAGTTGGGTGTGTAGGAACCGAGGCTGAAACTCCACTGGCTGAGGATGAAGGTGCAGAGCAGGTGGCGAATCCCACTGGCCTGGTAGCACAGGGAGGGAGGTGACAGGGATGGTGGAGGAGCACTTCCACACGGTGAGCCCCTCAGCATTGGGTTCAGGAGGACATGATAGGTGACAGGGCAGGGAGGGTGGAACGAAGGTCAGGGCTCAGATGGGGGTCCTGATAGCGCAGTTGTCATTTCTTCTAGTCCCCACGCAGGACCCTGAGGTCTGGGGGATGACTCTGAGATGCAGGGGTCAGACTTGCAGCTGCTCTTGCTTTTGCAGACAGGGGAGACCTGGGCCATGCCAACTGCTCCCAGGCCACCTGTAAGGGCAACCAATCGTCACCCTGACCCCGCGCCAGTGCCCAGAGTTGAAAGCGCCAACCTGCGCCAACGGCTATCCGGCCTGAAGGTGTACGACAAGGAAGGCTGCTGCCAGCACTACCAGTGCCAGTGTGAGACAGGGGCGCAACTGGGTGGGCTGGGACGGAAAATGGAATGGGTGGAGATGAGTTTCCTCCTTGGGTGTCAAGTGGATCCTCTGGCCCCTGCCAGGTAGAAGAAAAGGGCCCCTGGGGCCTTATGAAACATGTGCTGGGCTAAGTCTATAAGGGCCAGCCATGTTGTCAGGATCGTTTGGAGAGTCTGGCGAGTTCCCCATGTGGAGGCAGTGGGGGTGCCAAGCCAGATCAGGCCATGGGGTGGTGAGGAGGCCTGAAAGCCTCTTACTCCAGCTGGGCGAGTCCTAAGCCAGCTGTGCTTGCAGGTGTGTGCAGCGGCTGGGGTGACCCCCACTACATCACCTTCGATGGCCCTACTACACCTTCCTGGACAACTGCACCTACGTACTGGTGCAGCAGATCGTGCCCGTGTATGGCCACTTCCGCGTGCCTCGTTGACAATACTTCTGTGACATGAAGGCAGCGCTGGGGTGACCCCCACTACATCACCTTCGATGGCACCTACTACACCTTCCTGGACAACTGCACCTACGTACTGGTGCAGCAGATCGTGCCCGTGTATGGCCACTTCCGCGTGCTCGTTGACAACTACTTCTGTGACATGGGCACAGCTTCATGTGCGCGGGGCTGGGACGGGGAGGCTTGTCTGCGGGGGGAGCCATCGCTGACTTCCCCTCATTTGTGTACCCACCTGCATCCAGATAATATTCAACGACAAGGTGGTCAGCCCTGGCTTCCAGAAAAACGGCATAGCTGTCTCCCAAATCGGCATTCAAGATGTACGTGACCATCCAAGAGATCGGTGTCCAGGCATGTTCACTGGCCTCATCTTCTCTGTGGAGGTTCCCTTCAGCACTTTCACTAACAACACTGAGGGCCAGTGCGGTGAGTCCTGCCCTGGGCACTGTGAGACGTTAGAGGAGGACTCTAAGTGTCCTCGCTCATGCACACTGAGGCTCACAGCTGTCTGCGCTATGACCTCTCTGTATGCCAGGAACTGCCTGGGGCCGCTTCTCGGAGGAACAAGGGGCACAGGGAAGGGAAAAGCCTGGGCAGGTCCCATACTTGTGAGCCCAGATCGCGGGCCTGACCCAGCAAGGGTACGCTGGGCCCACAGTGGGGTGGAAGCCTGCACTGCTGTCCAGTCGGTCTGAGCCGCCATCTCTCCTGCAGGTACCTGCACCAATGATCAAAAGGTATGAGTGCCGCCTGCCTGCGGGTGAGGTGACTACCTCCTGCTCCAAGATGGCTAGCCACTGGAAGGTTGCACACCCCCGACCAGCCGTTTCTGCTACGGGCCTACTCCGACACCTGCCTCAGCCTCAGTTGCACCCACGACTCACCTGCCTCGTGCCCACCATCACCAACCTGTCAGCTGATTCTGAGCAAGTAAGTCTTGGTGTGAGGGAGGTGGGCAGCAGCCCTGCTGGCCCCACCTGCTGAGGGCTGTTGAGTCCTCAGGGGGCTCCTGAGAAGGAGGAGAGCTGACCCGTTATGGACCTTGAGTGCCATCGCTGGAGCTCATGGCAGAACGGTTGCTTCTGGAGAGCTACTGCGGAGCTGGCCAGTCAGTGCCTGAGGCCCTCTGCTGGCCTCCTCTCACCTCTGTGGGCATCAGTCACTGCCCAGTATTGGGAAGCACCCAGGTTTTTAGGGCAAGGGGGTCCTGGGGAGAGGAATTTGCAGAAAGGGATGTGCCAGCCAGACACCCTCCCTGCTACACACAGTTGCGGGATACCCTTCATCTGGAAGTCATGCTCACTGAGAACCTCAATTCCAATGGGGGGCATCACAGGTTGGGGAGCTTCTCTGTGGAACTGGCTGGTGACAGGAGGGAGTAGGCAGGGGTGCACCACCACCACATCTGTTCCCGCCCCACGCCTGCAGGGTCTTCACGCGCTGCCATGCTGTGATCTCCCCAAAGCCGTTCTATGAGGGCTGTATCTTTGATCACTGCCATGTGACTGACCCGGAGGTGGAGTGCTCCAGCCTGGAGCTGTACGCCTCGCTCTGCGCGTCCTTCGGTGTGTGCATCGACTGGAGACGCTGGACCAACAACACATGCTGTGAGTGCCAGGCCCAGCTGCCACCCTGTCCTTTGTTGTGAGGGGTTTCTGGAGGAAGGAGGGCTGGCTCAGAGCAGAATTCTGGATTCCATGGTCCCAGGGAGCTGAGATGCAGGTGGTCTTGGGTGGGCAGCAGTCGAGTCTGACCCAGTAGTTGACCGTGGGCAGCCATCAAAGGCTTCTGAGCAGTGTTGGTGCTCAGCAACGGCTGGGGTCTGGAGGGGACCAGACACAGTCTTGAATTGGCCTCTCAGGTGTGAATTGCTCTGTCCACAGTGTTCACCTGCCCTGCTGATAAGGTGTATCAGCCCTGTGGTCCATCCAGTGCTCACTTCTGCTACGGGAATGACAACATTAGCCTCTTGTACGTGCCAGCACCCCCAATAGGGTCAATGAACCCCAAAGCCACCTGGCTACCTCATTCGGGAATCTGTGTCTCCCAGGCCAGAGTTTTTCCTGTCGTGGGGCTCTGGGGACCCTGCCAACCATTTGCTCTCTCACAGGGCCCTTCCGGAGGCTGGCAACATCACGGAAGGCTGCTTCTGTCCAGACAGCATGACACTTTTTAGCAATGAGGCCCAAGTCTGTGTGCCTGCACACTGCAGCAGTATGTCCCCAGTGGCTTGGGGGGGGTGGGCAGAGGGCAGGGTGTAGATTGATAGCAGCTCCCACCCTGGCCCCCGACATGGGCCATGCCCCAGCCCAATCCCTACTGCTGCCCAAGGTAACCTAATCTCTCGCCCTACAGTGTGCCTGGGACCCTATGGGAAGCCAGTGGAGGTGAGTGTGGACAGTGGACTGTCCTTGGAGCCCCAGAACCTGAGGTGGGAGAAACAATGGGTGGAGTGTCATTTCAGTGTCAGAGGAAGGGCAGGGGCAGGGTGAGCACCTCAAGGGGACCCAGGAGGCTCTCTGCTTGGGTACCGGAGCTGCCTGTCCTTCCCTAGGGCTCCTTCTGCCCTGAGGGACATGTGACGGTGTGAGGTGGAGGGAGTCTCCTCCCTCAGGCTGGACTTCAGCTGCAGCAGCCTCAGCCTGCAGCTCCACACCTGCCTGTGCCAGCCTTGCTGCACTGCCTTTGGCCTATCTGACCAGCAGCTCACACTAAGGTGTCCCTCCACACAGCCGGGCCACACAGTCAGTGATGACTGCTACGAGTGCACCTGTGAGAAGGCCACACTGACCCTGTCCTGCCACAGGAAGTCCTGCCCACTGCCCCCTGCCTGCCCGCTGCTCGGCTTTGTGCCTGTGCCTATAGCCCTGGAGGCTGGACAGTGCTGTCCCCAGTTCAATTGTAGTGAGTGCTTGCTGGGTGGATGAGGGCTGCTGTTCCCACACGAGCATGGCGGGAGGGGAGGGCTGACCCCGTGTAAGGGTATGGTCACATTGTCTTAGTAGCTAGCTCTCCTAGCCAAGGGAGACAGAGGATGGACACTGCCCCTCCCAGCCTCTGCACACAGCCTGAGAGCTCTGTAGCCCATCTGGTGACCCCAGTAGGTGTTCTCCAGGTGTGGGGCTTCTGAGGGGTCCCATGCCTTTGGAACTCCTGGAGAGCCCTGGTCGGGCAGCCTCTTGGTTCAGGTATGGGTCTAGTCCTGACTGCTTCCCTGACTTGCAGCCTGCAACTCCAGCTACTGTCCGGAACCCCTGGAGTGTCCCGAGGGCTACCGCCGGGTCGTGTCCCACGAGGAGGGGGCCTGCTGCCCAAGCCAAAACTGCAGTGAGTGTTCCTCACCCTTGCCCCAGGCCGTGCTGGGCACTGAAGGCTGTGGACTCAGGCAGGGGTTTTTCCAGGGCACAACCAGATGAAGCCATGGCTTGTTCAGTACTGGTCACATTCTGTTCCAAGCCTTGGCATAGATGAGGCCTGGTGAATTTCAGTAGTGTGCAATGGAACTCACGGGGGCCCAGGTGGCTGGAGGAGGTGGAAACAGGACGGGCTGGGTGGGCTAGAGACAGACTGCATCCTGCAGAGCCAGGGCTGCAGCCTGTGTGTCTCCTGCACAGGCGTGAAGTCCTGCGTTGTCAACGGGACTGTTTACCAGGTGAGAACTGGCCAGCACCCAATGCCCCACAGCTCACAGGACTCAGTTTCCCACTCCTGCGCTCCTGCCAGCCTGAGCCCCTGCAGAGCCTGGCAAGGAGCTCCTACCCAGACCAGGGGACCAAGTATTTGTGGACACAGCCCACAGCCGAGTGTGGCTGAGGCTCAAGGTTGGCCCCAGGGTCTCTGGAGGTACCAGTACTTGGGTGCCTAGGTCCAGCCTGGGATACCTGCTGCTCACTGCTCCTCGCCATCATTCCAAGTGTGCCAGGCGCCCCCACCGGCCTTGCTTCTTCCTGCTGAACCTCTCGGTGTGACCTCACGGGCACCTACAGAGGCACAGCTGCTGAGCTGTGGCTTCTGCATCAGGAAGTGACACCAAGGGCCACCACCCAGGGTTCAGGTCGGCCTGCTGGACAGGCTAGAGCAACTGGGCAGTGGGGGTGTGTGTGGGATGTAGGTCTCTCCCCAAGTCCAGCCCGAGCCAACTAATGCCCAGCCCTGACTCTCCCCAGCCTGGTGACGTGATTTCCTCCAGCCCGTGTGAGACATGCAGGTGTGAGGAGATCAGAAACCCCCAGGGGGATGCCTTTGTGGTCAGCTGTGAGGCCCAGATCTGCAACACCCACTGCCCTGTGGTGAGTGCCTGTCCCACCCCTGCCCTCTTCCTCAGAGGTGGCCGATTGAAACTCAGTCAGCACATCCACTCTTCCACAGGGATTTGAGTACCAGGCCCAGAGAGGGCAGTGCTGTGGACAGTGCGTGCAGGTGGCCTGTGTCATGAACACCAGCAGCAGCTCCGTCCACCTCTACTATGTAAGTAGCCACTGCTGCAGCTGGGTGGCCTCAGGGCAGGGAGTTGGGTCTTGGGAGGGTGGACCCTGGTCTCCTAGCTGGGACAAAGTCACCATACATCTCCTAGGATCTCTACAGGGCCCAGGTCCTACCTGTGGCCCTGAGCAACCAGAGTCCTGGGGACACTGGGCTGAGTGAGCAGGGACCTGGGGACACTGAACAGAGTGGGTAGGGTCCTGGGGGTACTGGATTCTGAGTGGGCAAGGTCCTAGGGGCAATAGGTTGAGTGGGGGACACTGGGTTGAGTGGACAGGGTCCTGGGGACACTGAACTGAGTGGACAGGGTCCTGGGGGTACTGGATTCTGAGTGGGCAAGGTCCTAGGGGCAATAGGTTGAGTGGGGGACACTGGGTTGAGTGGACAGGGTCCTGGGGACACTGAACTGAGTGGACAGGGTCCTGGGGGCACTGGATTCTGAGTGGGCAAGGTCCTAGGGGCAATAGGTTGAGTGGGGGACACTGGGTTGAGTGGACAGGGTCCTGGGGACACTGAACTGAGTGGACAGGGTCCTGGGGGTACTGGATTCTGAGTGGGCAAGGTCCTAGGGGCAATAGGTTGAGTGGGGGACACTGGGTTGAGTGGACAGGGTCCTGGGGACACTGAACTGAGTGGACAGGGTCCTGGGGCACTGGATTCTGAGTGGGCAAGGTCCTAGGGGCAATAGGTTGAGTGGGGGACACTGGGTTGAGTGGACAGGGTCCTGGGGACACTGAACTGAGTGGACAGGGTCCTGGGGCACTGGATTCTGAGTGGGCAAGGTCCTAGGGGCAATAGGTTGAGTGGGGGACACTGGGTTGAGTGGACAGGGTCCTGGGGACACTGAACTGAGTGGACAGGGTCCTGGGGGCACTGGATTCTGAGTGGGCAAGGTCCTAGGGGCAATAGGTTGAGCGGGGACACTGGGCTGAGTGAGCAGGGACCTGGGACACTGAACTGAGTGGACAGGGTCCTGGGGCACTGGCCTGAGTGTGCTGGGTCCTGGTCCATTGGGGCACTTAGGAAGCATGCCCATGCCAGTGGGGCACTCACCCTGCTGCTCCGGCCTCCTTTCAGCCTAATGAGTCCTGGGCAGACCCTGAGAACCACTGTGTTTCCCACAAATGTGAGAAGCTTCAAGGTGGGCTTGTGGTGGTGACTGTGAAGATGGAGTGCCCACCACTCAGCTGTACTAAGGTGAGTCTTAGGCCCTTCCACACCAGCCAAGGGGACATCACCTGGAGACTAGTGGGGAATGGTCAGCCCTGCAGGGCCACAGGGCTGTCACCCTCCTGAGGAGGGCTGCCCAGTTCTGCTTGAAGCTGGCCAGTGTCTCCATTCCCCCATTTCTGGGACTGCCGAGTGACCCTCCCGGCACCAATGGCAGCCCCTTGTTGGTACAGGACAAGGCCTATCTGAGTACGGATGGCTGTTGCTACTTCTGTCCTCCGCCTGCACCCCAGACCAATGGTAAGTGGGAATGTCTGCTGGGCAGGACCCAATTCCAGCCCGGGAGGTTCAGGAAACGATGAGGCAGGTGCTGACCTCTGCCTCGCCTCCTATGTCCTCCCCAGGGTTGATCTGCGCCATGCATCACAGGGACCAGATCATCCAGCAGCATGGCTGCAGCTCTGCTGGGCCTGTACGCTTGTCCTACTGCCAGGGCGACTGTGGAGCATCTACATCTATGTATGAGCCCTTCCTGGGCATCCCCACTCCCCACAGGGAGTCCCCGGGGTGGGGGGTGATCAGAGATGTGATTGCCAGTGGGGCCCATGGGGGCTGGGCAGATGGGGTGGAACCAGGAAGGGGGCTGTGGGCCCCTGAGGGGAATCCTAATGACCACTTGGAACGCGCAAGGGTGAGGCCAGTGGGCTCTAAGCACCTGGGCCACTGCCTGTATTGAAATTAGTGCTGTTTGCTGAGGTATCATACGAGTGCCCCATCGGGAACTTGCTGCTGTCATTGTGTGACCCTCCCCAGCCCTGAGACCCATGAGGTCACAGTGGTGGCTGACACCAGCCCTGGCAGGAGCATTGCTCCCAAACAATTGACAAGTGAGAGCCAGTAGCTCAACCCTGGTCATAGAGTACAGGGTGACAAGGACGGCAGGGGCCAAGCACCCTCCAGCTTGTAGAGGCAGCAGGCCAGTGCTGTGGTGTCTGTGGGGAGCTGTGGTAGGGTTGGAACCCACATCAGGCCCTGGTGCTGAGCAGCTCTGTCCATAGGTATTCCCTGGAAGCTAACATGGTTGAGCACACGTGCCAGTGCTGCCAGGAGGTGCAGACCTCGCAGAGGCAGGTGACCCTGCACTGCGCTGATGGCTCCCGCCGGGCCTTCAGCTACACTCAGGTGGAGGAGTGCGGCTGCCGAGGCCAGCAGTGCCACGCGTCAGATGACATCAGCCCCTCAGCATCATCAGAGTCCAAGTCCATGTTCAAAGAGAACAAGGAGCAGAGGCAGGAGTGAGAGGAGGAGCCAGCAGGAGGGGCCCAGGTCTTCCTAGTAAACCACCAGTCCACAGCCATCCTCCCAGACATCTGAGCAGAACATCTTTCACATCCCTGTGTCCTCAGATCCCAGCTCCTGAGGCCAGTGTGACAGGTGCCCTTGTCCAGCTGGCTGGAGTCCTGGCACTGTCCACTCACCACTTTCTTCTCAAAGGAGCTCTGACCCTGAGTGCCCTTGGAGGTCCAGAAAGCCCCTACCTACCTGCTGCCACCTGCTAGAAGCATGGGGCTGTAGGCCTCCTCTGGCCTTGGCTGGAAGAACTTCAGCATTGCCAAATGGCCTTGTGAACAACAGTGACTTGGACCTGGAGACCAACTGCCTGGCCTCGCTCCTACCTCAGCCCTGGGCCTGTGTCCCTCTCCTCAGGAAACGGCCAATCTGTTTCATAAATGTATTCAAAGCATTTTGCAATTTGCAGACTCTGTGCATTTCTAATTGTCCATAAATCTAGGAACTGCATGGGGACAGGCTCCAGCCCCAGGGGGCTCATACACAGGCTAGCCACCAGGGATTGGGCAGCCCAGTGAGGGCCACTGGGGGAGCCCTGTTGCCTCCATCTTCTGGGAGGGAGAGCGTCCATTCCTGTGTAGAGGAGGACAGGCTTGTCCTTGGGTCTTTTCCAAAAGGTAACAGTTACACGCTGCATAGGCCATTGAGGGCCTTGGTGCTGCCCAGAGTCAAAGGAAGCATCTGATCAGAGGACAGTGAGGGAGAGTGAGTGAGTGAGTGAGTAATGAATGAGTAAGTAAGCAAGTGAGCCAGGGGTGAGTGAGTAAGGGAATAAAGAAATGAGGGAGTGAATGAATGAGTGAGCCAGCAAGGGAATGAACGAGTGAGGGTTAGAGCCAGCAGTGAATGAGCGAGAGAGTGAGTGAGTGAGGAGGGTTAGGGAGACCCACCCTGGGCATCAGGGCCGCATTCATCTGTCTAGCTGAGGCTTCCCTGGCTCACCAATCCTGCCAGGAAGACTCTTGTCTCCATGCACAGGCTCCTGGACTCTCCCATTTTGTGGACTCCATGCTTAGGACGCATGTGGGCATGCGTGTGTGCGTGCATGTATGTGTGTGTGTGTGCGCGCGGGCACTGGGGGTTGGCAACCCCAAGGGCAACCCCACCGACCCTTTGCAGTGGACAGGAGCCTGGGACTTGTGACCCTCCTGTTCTTTCCTACAACCTCCCCCCAGCACCACCATGTTCTTAGTGCTGGCTTTTGTTTGGTGGAGGTCCAGTGGGGCCCACCACCCTGAGGCACCTGGTCTTAGACTCTACCCTGGCCACATAGCAGTGGAGGTGGGCATATTGTCAGAGGAACTTAGAGGTGACCAAGCTGAGCCAGGTAGGTCTGGGAGCCTACTGCCCAGATAGGCCTGGGATGGGGACAGGGAAGCCTGCAGTCAGCCTAGAAGCCAGGTCATGTCCCTACACTAGTACCTGAAGGGTTCCAGGCCTCGTGAAGACCAAACACAGGGCAGGCATGGGGTGGGGAGAGTGCACCCAGAGTAGCTGCTGACCAGGTAAGGCATCAGCCAGCTGGACCCTGGCCACAAGCTAGGAGGCTGGAGATGGACCCTGAGAAGGCCAGGTCTGCCAGGCTAGACAGTGCTGGCCATCTGGGGACACACTGAGGCTCAGGACCCTGACCAGGCCTTCCACTGTCTAAGGGGTTTCAGAGCCCTCTGCTTAGGCAGAGAAAGGGTCTCCAACCTGTGGAGTGGCTGGAATGGAGGTGGAGTGTGGGACAGACTTCATCTTGGTGTCCCTGGGACAGCAGGAGGGGAGGGACATGCTCTCATGTCCTGGTCCTTGTCTCACCAAGGGAAACTGAGGCCCAGGGAGGCAGTCAGTAGGCAGAGTGGACATGGAGAGCTGGCTTTGTGCCCCATGTCAGTGTTGGTGATTTCCAGCCCTACTTTCTGGAATGTGACCCCTTTGCTTCAGCCTCACATGGCCTTGGTGACAAGAACCAGGCCCAGCTGGGTTGGGTCCCTAACCCTCCTCACTCCTCACTCCCTCCCTCCCTCCCTCACTCATTCATTCCCTTGCTGGTTCAGAAACAGCCATCTTCCTGTTTCTGGAGCTCAACTGCACTCCCTGCAGCTGCCACGAGGTGGAGTACAGAGGTCTTGCACCTCCTTGGCTCAGGAGCCCAGTGTCCCCACTTAAGTTCTTGGCTGGACCCTGCCTCAAAGCCAGCCCAGAGACGAACAGGGACCCTGAGAGGAGAAGGGGAGTGTGCAGGGAATCAGGGCTGCAAGGCCCCGGGGTGAGGGTGAAGATTGCTCTTCACAGTTTACGTGATGTGCCCATTGGGGCCAGGAAGACGTGGGTTTGGCTGGAGGACCATGGCCCCTCCAACCCATCTGCCCTGTCCTGTGAGCTGAGGCCTGGCTGGTCCCCAAGGCACCTTAAAGTTCTTCTAGGGTCATCTGTAGACCCTGGGAGGTCAGGGACATGGTTATGTCCAGTCCCCACAGGGCTCCTGAGTCACAGCAGGCTTCATGGTGTGCTGGTTGCATCCGGGATCAATTTGACAGGTCCTGCCAGCATGGGGGCTGGGGAGGGGCTGACATCCCCCTGGGTCCAGCCACTCCACCTTCCCGCTGCCCTGCCTGTTTGCTCCCAGGGGCAGGCCACAGAGCTGACATCAGAGTCTGACGTCTGTCCTTGACCAGAGGTGGAAGTTGGGAGACCTCCACAGGTGTGAACCTGTGACCCTTTTGTGGTGAGCAGGAAGCCCAGCCCGCAAGCTGGCCGGCCCTGCAGGTCTGCTCTGGTGCGGGGCTGGCTCTGCTAACCTCGTAACCGCTGCTGGGGCCCTAATGGAAGCTGCTACCCCCTGGAGTGGATCAGGTGTCCCTATGAGCTGCCGCTTCCTCTCAGGGGGGTGTGTGACATTGCAGTGACTAATCCTCCCCAGCCCCTCAGCCCTCCCATCACAGTGTCACCTCCTTGCCTGGAATCAAGGCAGGCTCACAGGCAGGAAATAACTAGACTGCACGTCCCCGGGCGGGGGTAGCCACCCTCCCTGCCCGCCCACCTGGCCACCGCAGCTCCAGTCAGATTATGCAAGTCATTGTTTCTGGACAGAGTCACGGAGCTGGATGTGGTCACAAATGCCTTGGAGGTGCCTCCACTTTGCCCGCAGGGGACGTGACACGGGAGGGGACAGGACGACCTGTCACTGCTAAGACAGCAGGAAGAGGCCCCATGGGTCAGAGTTGGCTGGGGCAGCTCCCAGGAGCCCAGTGCCCCCATGACACCTGGCCTTGAGGAAGGCCTTACTTCAGGAACCTTGGGGAGTCACAAACTTGAGTCTCACCCTCGTTCATTCTTGGGGGTCCATGCTGGGGATGGCTTCTGCCACATATAGAGGCCCTGGGGTTCCTGAAGATGAGAACCAAATGAACAGAGATCCAGGGTTCTGAGGAGGGTCTTCCTGAGCCCTAGCACTGCTTGACTTGGGACGACCCATGGCCTCCTGAAAGTTAAGACCACAGGCCCATGGGGGCAGTGTGGAGGGCTGCTTCTATGACCCTTAAGTGAGGAGGGACCCCTCAGGTCTTCAACAGGCAAATGCAAAGTGTTTCTGTCCACGGGTCTGGGACAAGATAAGCCAGGAAGGAGCCACGGCTGTCTGCCATGGTGACTTCCTCTCTCACCTCATAGGAAGTGGGCTGTACCCAGCTGAGTCCCAAAGCCCCAACTGGTGAGTGCTGTGCTAAGTGGATTCCTGAGCCCCTGAGGCTGGCAGGGGTGTCAGGTGGTAGATGGCCTCAGAAGGGTCCCCAAGACAGGTGATGTAGCCAGATGTAAACCTTCCCCGCCTCTAAGGCAAACATCTTGGGGTTCTATGATGTCCCAGAGCAGCCACAAGCCAGCAGAGTAGCCAAGTCCGCTTCCCCCATCGATAGGCCTCCAGGCCTGTGCCAAGTTCAGGACCACTGGACCTTGTAGTGTCTCAGTGTTCCATCTCCATGAAGGAACAGACAGGACCACAGCCTTAGGGACTCAACTTCCAGGGACCCCAGCCTGAATAGGAGGAAGCCATGAGGGAGACAGAAATTCCCAGTGGAACCCACCAGGGAAGCCCCTTTCACCAAATGGCTCCCTCACTCTGGCCCTCAGTCCTCTTGCTCCCACTCACAGGACCCCCTCTCCCAGATGAGTCCACAGTGAGCACTTCAGCTGTACATGAAGTGGGTGTGCAAAGGGACCCAGCAGCCCACTAGGAGCCCATGTATCTGAGATGTCCCCAGGTAAGGGGCCACTGGTACCTCAGGTACCCAGACGCAGCCAATGGAGGAGCAGGGACTTCTGCCCATCTCTGGATCTGGGTCTCTTCCTGCAGTCCCAGCCAACCCTTAGCCTCCAGCCCCATTGGGTGCAGGGACAGCTCCTGCCTGCACTATCCAGCCTCTGTGAGAAGTGGGGCCTGGACTCCATCTGTGGAGAGGTCTGTTTCCTGTTGACCCCACTGTGGAACAAACTTCCTCTTGTCTGAGGGCTGTGCCCCATCCTCAATGGCAGCTCTCCAGCCTCACAAATCTAAGAAACGACAGTTCAGTATTTCGTGAAAAACTCCACAATGCTCTTCCTACTGAGAACAGCCTACTGAGCAGGTAACCTCACTCCCACAGGACCCAAAAGAAATCCCTGAGTACAAAAAATCAAGGGGCTGAAACCTGGCGGCAGGACCTGTCTTGGGCTCCTGCTCGCAGCACCCAGCTGGTGGAACTGGACTCAAGAATTCCCAGAGAGCCTCCACACCTCCAGTGGGGTCTCTGTAGCACTGATGGCTGGGCCAGTTTTGCAAATTCTGCTTTTAAGAGATGGCACCATGGTTCACTGGTTTGCAAGTGGGTGTGAGTGTGCAGTCACACACTGCAGGTCCCTGCCTGATGTGTGATGTGGACACGCAGGCTCACCCAGCATGCTTGGTCCTGGTAGGAGGACC